GGGGCGGCGGCGGCGGCGGCGTCGGCGTTCTGGGCCGCGGGCGCCGTCGTGGCGGGCGCAAAGTTGGCGGCGCTGCAGCGCTTCATGGGCGGCGAGGAGGGCGCCATAGGGCCGCTGGCCAGGCATGAGGGCATCTACCCCGTCGAGGACCAGATAGCGGACAACGCGGCCCTGGCTGGCGTGTGCGCGGCGCTCGCGGCGCTCGAGCTGGTCCTCGGCCTGGCCGTGCTGCCCAGCGTGGGCAGGGTCGAGGGCGTGGCGCACATCGAGCTCGCCGACAAGTGAGCTGTTGTGGCTAGGTACCTCGGTGAACTTGCCTGGGTTATCTACGAGCCCTACCCGCCGAGGAACTTGGAAGGATCAAACAGAGTCCTGTCGCTCTCGGCGCCCAGAGTTTGAGGCTCTCTGGCTGGACCGCGGTGCGGCAACGGCGACGACCGAACCGACGAAACACCCTAACGAGGTTTTGGGTGCTGGAGTCGCGGCTGAGAGAGCAAACAGGCAAGAAGCCGAACCACGGCGCCCGCATTGTTGGGCTGATGTCCCATATCAAGGGCTTGACGGACCAGGGAGGGGGGGCACCCACCCTGGGGCGAACGTTTTTTTTTTTTTCAGTCTCAGGAATCTGGTAGTTTGCCACCCAGTATATGCGCCACACGTTCAGACGACAGGGCTGGTGTACAGGGGGGCTTGGACCTGGTCCACAGGGTGCAACAGGGAACAGGGGGGGCATTCGGTGATAGTTTTCAGGCACCGGCGTTTTGCGTTTTGCGTTTTGCGGGAGCGGTGCTGTATTTATCTCTTGAGCCGCGCCCAAATAATGCGTTTACGAATCAGACATGAATGACGATCTTGAATCAAGCAACCTACCCAGCCGCCCATCACGAGTCGACGGCGATGCAGCGACCGACCATCACGTGCGACACGACACGACGCGCCGACAGGGCTGCGGCTGACGTGATAAGCGAAGGGTAAGGAAGCCTTACCGGCTATCTTGTCGCCAAGCCCGTGCCTGGCGATTTACAGTGTGGGCTGCATGCGTACGGCATGGACGTGCTGCATAGTGCTGTAGTGCGGCTGCCACCATTGAGTATCACCAATTTTCTAAGAAGGTTATCGACTCAACTGATTGGGTCCCCCCCCCCCCACACAACGACCAACCGCAGAACCCCAACCTCAACCTCAACCATGACCCCCGACTCGTCCAGCAGCTCCGGCGAGGGCGAGCCGAGCACCACCCGCGCCCCAGGAGCCGCCGGCACAGCCCGCCGGCGGCCCATCCCGCGCAAGGGCCACACCAAGTCGCGCCGCGGCTGCTTCAACTGCAAGAAGCGCAAGGTCAAGTGCACCGAGGGCCTGCCCGAGTGCGACCACTGCCAGCGCCTGGGCCTGATCTGCGAGTACCCCCCGCCGCGCCGCTACCTCGGCGGCGGCGGCGGCGGCGGCGACGGCGACGGAGGTGTTGCCCGCCGCAACGACGAGCCCCTGAGCGGCAGCAGCCCCGTCGCGGGCTACGGCGCCATGGCCATGGCCGTGGCGCTGTCGCCGACGTCGCCGTCGCGGCCCCTGCACGCCAGCCCGATGGCCTTCTCCAGGGACGACCTGCGCTTCTTCTCGCACTTTCTGCTGACGGCCTACCCGCCTCTGCCGCTGGGCGGCGAGGGCATCTGGAAGCAGGTGGCCGCCATGTCCTATGAGGTTTGCACCGCGCTCATGCCGCTCCCCCCTCCCAACACATGTCCACCCCACCACACCCGGCCTCCCCGGATACAGTACAGCCCACCACCCACTTGAGGTTGCATCCGGCCGGCCCTGCCGGGGCCCATTCCCAGTTTGCGTTGCATCGAGGTCTCGCCAAGCCCACTGACACGGACCAACGCACCCTAGTACGACTTCCTCATCCATGCCATGCTAGGCCTGGCCGCCTCGCACCTGTCCCTCATCGCCCCGGCGGGCTTCGAGAACCAGGCCATCTCGCACCGCGTCGCGGCCATCCGGCTGCTGAACCAGGCGCTCAGCACCCCGTGCGCGTCCAGCGTCGAGGGCGACGCGCGCTTCGCCGCCATCATGGCGCTGACCTTTGTAAGCTTTTCACCCCCTTTGGAACGATTGTCCCGGCCCAATGACTCGTCGGGGTCGGTTTCCCCTCCCTTATTTTGTTCTGACGCCCGGCGTCCGTGCGTGTTGCGCGGACATGCGCCCAAACACAGCAAGCGGCCTACATGCCCGAAGGAGGCATGATGGAGTTCGTGTCGCTCATCAGGGGCTGCAACGTGGTCGCCCGGAGCACAATGGTCTCGAGGGAATCCATCTTCCACCACTGGACCGAGGACGGCCACATCGACACGGTTAGGTCCATGAACGCCCCGGAACCCGAGGGCGTGCCGTCAGATCACCAGACCATCGAGGCTTTCCTGGCCTCGCTGAGACAGCTGGCCCCGGACTGCAGGGGCTCGTTTGAGCTCCTGTGGCTGGGCACCATTGAGAAGTCACTCGAGCTTGCAAAGACGTCGTCTCTACAAGGTACCCAAAGCCAAAGAAACATGCCGATACACTGACCAATCATGTGCCTCGTCGGGAGTGATGGCATGTTCTAACATCCGGGGTCACGACAGGTTTCACCCAGACGGCGCGAGCCTATCAGTACTTTGGCGCGGCGTCGAGCGAGGACTTTGAGGACTTTACCAACCCCGAAAACTTCACGGCCCAGCTGCTGATGCTGCACTTTTTCCTGGTCGAACACTTTATCGGCTGCACCGTCCTCGGGCCCGTCATCTCCTCGTTCCTCGTCCGCAGGAAGGTCAACGCGGCCTGGGTGGCCGGGCTGGGGCGGGACATGCCGTTGGAGTGCCGGCAAAAGTTCGCCTGGCTCCAGCGCTTCTGCGGCGAGTCGGGCCTGTCGCAGCACCGGCCGGCGGGCCTCCTCCACCAGCCCCCCCGGTCCGAGGACACGGGGCGCGAGATGGCGCTGCGGATGAAGGCCCCAGGGCAGATGGACGCGTGAGTCGCCAACTTGAAAGAGGGGTTTGGTTGGGGGCAGAGCGGGCCTTTGTTCCAAAGAAGCAAAAAGTCTCTCCGAGGTCGAATGAGATTTCGAAACAATATCACGGCAATAGAAAATCCCGAGCATGACATTTCGATGGCGCCGAGCGTCCCCGAATAATTGCCCATGGGGCCAGTCTTGGTTTTTCCCCCCAGACGATGGATGCACTGCGGGCCGGCTGGCCCAATGGGATCCACATGGTTCCCCAGATCGAGGTGTGACTTGTGACTGCCGGAGCAGGATTTCAATTTGTGGTTGGAAGCCCCGGTCCGAGGGCTGAGGAGGGCGTGCCAATCCTTCGGACATTCAGTACCTGCCGGAAAGTCAGGTGCGGGCCACGTACTTTAGTGAGTACGCCCGCGCAAGGCGAGATAGGGTGGGCTTATTACCAGCCCTTCGTGGCACTCATTCGACCGCTTACAGCTAGCGCGCGGCCCCCCACGATCAACACCCCGTGTCTGGAACCCAGCAAACAGTCACAGGAATTTTCCAGCGAGGCGAGAGGGGCAGCTCATTGGCGTTCGCGTTGTGGCTCGGCTGGAGGCAACCTCCTGCAAAACAAAAAGCGCCCTACCCCAGGCTCAGGATTTGCCCACGTGCAGGGACGAGACCCCTCCCCCGTGTCCGTTGAGCAATGAGCAATGAGCAATGAGCAATAAGCAATAAGCAATATGTCGGCCGTCCCATCAGGTCGCTCTTTTACCAAACACTATTTACGTAGCGGGATCCCCCATAGGTCCCCGCCGAGGCGAGGCGCCCTGCTAATCACGGCGCGGGCGGAGATGGGGGTGGGCGCGATTGTCATGAGCTGGGAGCGATTGGATGTCGCAAAAGCCGATGGCGAGGGGAGTGAAGGAACTTGTTTGGAATAAAACACAGGCCTGGAAAAAATGGATATTTTCGTTTAGCAAAAAAAAAAAAAAAAAAAGGACGATAAAAAGAATGTCAAATAACAAAAAAACAATTATCGCCAAGATCATGTGCCTCAGCCCAAGAGATGCCACACCCAATACTCTTGTTGTCGTCGCCGACCTCTAAAGGACGTGGAGATTTGAACGTCTTGAGCGGGGCGTCAGCGCTTTGACAGTGTTACACAAAAGTCACGGGCCGGCCTGGGAGTGGAGGGCCCAGGGGCCGCCGTCACACAAAAAAGCATCTTGCGGGAGCGTCTAGCGGGCGGTGTCCCATTTCTAGCAGCGTTACGGTGGAGCGCCTCGCAGTCTAGCGCGGGGACGAAGCCAAAAAAAAAAAAAACCGCCACCAGAAACATTTGACAGCCTTCATCATATGTCAGGGTCCTCCGTCCTGATAGCCCACACATCAAAAAAAGCAACAGGATGGCTGGCGGGCTCGGGGCGGGCAGCCGAGAGGGGGACCCTGTGCGAAGGGGGCGTGCTCGGCGCATTGAGGATTGTCCTGCTAGCCGGCGCCCGGTTGATTTATGCCGATCGCTGTTCGTGGGGAGGAGGGGATTGTGATCTCCACAGGGAACTAGGTAGATGTGTCTCTATGCATGGAGCAAGACAACAGAGAGACGAAGCGAAACGAAACGCACAAAGAGGTGGTGACAACAACAGCAGCAGCAGCAGCAGCACACGCGCGCCAAACAGATCAGACCAGCGCCCGGAAACGCCTCACCTCGGGGGAACCGCTGCCCGCCCTTGTGCGGACACGAAACCCCCAATCGGAGCGGGTCTGTGGTGGTGGTGGGGGATCCGAGATGGCAAAAACGAAGGGGAAAGAGCGTGCAGGGGTGGAGGGGTGTGTGTGTGTGTGTGTTGTGAGAGTGGCAAAGCGGGCATTTCGGCCTGGACCTGCCGCCGTCGCCGCCGCCGACATGGACCCCCCCATACCCTCACGAACCATGCCCAAGTACGAACGACAAAAAAAACCTTGTGGCGCCTATCGCGTGTTCCTGCGGACGCGCGCGGGCAAGGCGGAAAAGCTGACACACATCTGCAGCGTCTGGAGCCATGGACACGATGGACCGCCCGTGGTGGAGAGGGAGGGGATAACGAACCCAGGCCCAGGCCCAAACTCCTTCAGGGCCGCCTACTCCTCTTCCTATGGTGATTTGCCGGCGGTGGGTTGTGACTGAGGATGGGATTGATTGAGTGGTTGATGGACACGACGACGACAAGGGGGCGTCGGCCTGAGCGAGGCGTGGATTGGGCACCGTCGACAAGTCACGGTGCTTTGCTTTGCTTTCCTTTCCCGCGTTTCCGACAAGCAGAAAACATGGCCAGATCAATCCTGATTCAATTTATCGATTTTTTTTTGTTGTTGTTTATTGTTTCGGCCTTTACGGCGATATCTCGCTCCAACTCCCCCGACCACTCAGTAAATGATCACCCAACAGTTTCATTTGCCTTGTTTATCGAACCCGACGGGACGGTTTGAGTGTCTTGTGTTGTGGTCGTGCGGGAGGGTTACACCGAGCAGACAAAAAGTCTAGAATGTCTTAGCCTGCTTCCTTGCTCACCCTCCACGGAGCTCGCAGCCATAGCATGTTTGCTAAAAGTGCCATCGTCTCTGCGCTTGGGCCAAGGGTCCTCGGGGTCAAGGCTGGAAGTGGTCACTGCTGATGCGGGATGAATCCCGGGGCTGTGTGTCTGGGGATAAATATTTGGGTTTATCGTTTGATAAATGCCGGGGCAAAAGAAATAAAAATAGCTCAGGGGCTTGGGGAGGAGAAAGCAAAGAAGACCACGATCAGGGGGTGTGAAAAGAAGCTGAGGGAAAAAAAGAAAGGACGATAAAAAGAAAGGACGATAAAAAGAAAGGACGATAAAAAGAACAAGACATAAAATGATAAAAGTGATAAAAATAATAAACCGATTTGTTCTTCTTGATTTTATTTCTCTTCTTGCGCCCTCCAGTGAGATGGGGAAGGAAAGGCGTCACATGGGGAAGCTGACTGAAATGCCGCAGGGTGTTTTCTGGAGTTGCAATCGCACGCCCCCAAGGAAAATCGGCCAACGATGTCGCACCCTCCTCACCGCCTGAAGCTTTGCATCAACCCCCATGGTCATCTGGCCGTCTTTCTTTTCTTTCCTTTTTTTCACCTCTCCTTTCCGGCTTTGCTCCTTTGCCTGCCGTGTGTTCTCTCAGCTGTGGGTCAGGTCACCCCCTCTCTTACACAGATTTGGGGGGCTGCGATGGCATGCCAGCTCATCAATCCTCCTCCTCCCCCCTGATCCAAGGCTCCGGACGGGTGTGCAAAATGATGGACGAGAAAAAAAGCAGAAAAAGAAACGAAAGTCAAGGTCTGCTGCTGCCTGGCAAAGAGGGGGGGGGCCCGAGTCACCGGATTCAGGTTACGCAAATGCGCCCTCATCGAAGCTGTGATGCCCGATACTGCTGCTGCTGCTGCTGCTGCCGCTGCCGCTGCTAATGCTGCGACTCGTTCAAAACGCAGTGCAACGTTCGCGACAGCGCCGCCAGAGCCAAGCCCAAGCCAGTGCCAGTGCCGCTACCCCTCCTCCATGCCTGACAGGCTGGCTGGTCGCGCCGCCGGTCTTGGTGTGCAGGCTCTCCCGCCCAGTGCGCTTCTCTCGATAAGCCGGGGAAGCGGGCACCACTGCACGCGGGTGCCATTTTTTTCTCCCTTTCTAGTTTTCTCACTGGATGCTTTGTTTTCGGCTCGCTTGCCTGCCTGCCTGCTTGCTTGCAGTAGGGCAAGCCAGGTTTTGGGGTTTTGCTTTACGTGGCAGATGGGCAGCATCTACCGTGTGTGCTCCTCCCTCTCTCTCCCTCGAGCTGGGTGCCCAGACCCTTACCGCCCTGCCGGGAGTCGTACCATCCGTCCGGTGGCTTGCTACCCGCCGCAAACGGATTCATCATCGATTCCCGGCCGCGCTCCCCCCTCCTCCCATCCCCTCCCTTATAGGCTTCGAGGGAGGGCTAGGCTGGGGATGGACGCATGAGCGCGCACTCGTTGGGCAGACCCAGAACTGGGAACGAGCTCGCCCGGGCAGGGGAAATGGTGTGATGTGGGACCATCATGGTCGGCCAGAAGGGTCGAATGCAGCTTCTCTGGCTATTGCGATCGAGAGAAACATGCAATTCGCTGCATACGGGCTTCGGCCGGCGGCAAGCACATGTTGCTGACATTGGGTGGACTGTTTCGTTATCAGTTGGCCTAGTTTCCATCCTGTGTGGGTTGCTCACTACCTGCAAAGTTGCCGAAAACTACCTCGCATCTTCTTCTCTCACTCCATGATTTTCTGTTTGCCATCCATCCCTATCGCTGCACGGGAAAAGGAAAAGGGTCAAGTGGCCCGCTCGCCGATGCCAGCTTGTCAACCCGCGTCCACAAGACAACATGTCGATGCCCGGCCTGCATGGTCGGGCTCCCAGCAGGACAGACGCGTGAGGGAGGCAGACGTCAGCGGCCTGCTTAGTTGATTCCCCTAGTGGTCATGTTTTTGACCAGCCAGCCAGAATGAGGCTCAGGCGGTGATGCGCCTCGCGAGCTGGAATCTCTGACGTACTGCAGGATCAATCACTTGCCATGGGCACTCGCTTTTGATTGGAGCGCAACCTTGGACCTGCTCTCTGCTGCTGGGACACCCGACTTCAGACGAAACCTGGCAGATGCATTTCGCTTCGGCAGTCAATCGATATCCAAGGTAGAGGACATTGATTCCGTTGTATCTTGTTCTGCCGACTCCTTGGCTTGTTTGTTTACGCATTGTCCCTCGTGAACGGGGTTGCGTCAGCGCTGAAGGCCTTCCCGCAGCTCCGCCACCTGACAGCATAGAGGATGGGACGCGGTTCGGGCTCGCCGTCCACCCGAGCACCATCGCCTCCCATCGAAAACATGGGGCGTGGTCATTGAGTGTGGCCTTTAGCAATAAAACAAGTACAGATAGAGAGGATAGGCGGCATCCACAGAATATCCCAGCTCTCCCATACGCGCGGCCATGTGAAATTGATCCGGGAGAGAGGAGCACTGGCTGGGAATGTCTAGTATTTTGATCGCAGCGTTGCCTTCACTTCCGTGCCTCCTTTTTTGCCCACGCAGCTATACTCCATTCCGTGCAAGGCAGTCAGCGGCCCCACGAGTTCGGGGCCGACTTTAGGCAAAAAGGAGGGGGAGGCGTCCACCCCGTGCCAGAGCAGCTCTTCCGTCGCCCACATCAAGCCGAGGTGGGACGGGGCGGGCTATACACCGAGTTCCTGAGCAGGGGGGTTTGTCAAAACGCATACGCCCCATTGATACATCATGGGGAAGGGGGCACAAGCTTGCGCACAGCAAATATATGATCGGGGCCGAACCGACTGACCGGCTGCAGAGCGTCGCGGGCGCACTGCCGTCAAGTGCGCCAGTTCATTTACTCTCGCCGGCCGCCCCGTCTGCCTCGGTTTTACGAAGCACACCACGCGTCTTCGGGCCTTCCCCAAGGTGGCCGCCATGGAGGGTGACCACTTTTGTCTGCTTGTCCATCCGTCCGGAGGGAGGGGGCGTGTACCACTGGCCCAGGCATCCCTCCCGGCCTCCATGATTCCGGGCTCGAGCCTTTTTTTCCAATCTCCGTCCCGCCCTCGGCAGTGACCTCTCCCTGGCCGCTTTACCCCAGGGCGCCGGGGACGCAGACCTTTGCGCACCCGTGCAGCCGACGCGCACTCCCCCACCTCCTTCCAGCATACCGTGCCGGTTTGTGAGCAAGCGCCGATGGTCCCCACCCCTTACTATCGGGACAATGGGCGGGCGGCGGCATTTTGGCTAAAGTCGCCAGCGCACGTGGCGGTCAGGGACTGAAGTCTTAGTGTCCCTGCCGCCTGGGACTCGGGAGCTGCACGTCAAATAGATGTGGGCTACGTGGTGCAGATGTGGCCATCGCGATCTGGTATTGAATAGATGGATATGGAGGGCATCTTATTTGTTTGTCCTGGTCTCTCGGCCCGTCGTCGCCTGGCAGTCTCGCCTGCGGTTGCCGCTGGGATTCATAATATTTGAGAATATCCACCTTCACCATCATGATTTGTGCAGGCACCAGCCAGCAAGAGCGAACTGGAATATCCGCAGGGGCAGCTGCGATTAGGTAATCACCGTATACAGGCATCGGTGGGGCAGGCTAGGTTGGATCTGGAAATCCGACGAATGACGACAGATGGCTCACGACGACTTCATTTCTTTCATGATGGCCTGGCGGAAAAGACAGTTGTATCGCCCCAAGCCTTGCACTGCGGACGCGGATCATCACAATCAGTAGCACTAGCTTTGCCACCACCTGTCCGCTACCAATCTTGAAATGGCTCATTCAGTCTCATGAGATTCTGTCAAATTTATTTCACTTGCTGCCCGTCAAGACTCGTATACATCAAGACTGCTTGGATCAACTATCTCCGGGAGTTGGTTTTCTAGAGATAGCCTCGCACTTCTCGAGTCTTTGTCTTGGCCAAGCCAGAGGCCGTCGACCTTGATTTCGGCCGCCGCTTCTCTTCACCACTTCTCAATTACCCTGCGTCAACATTATCAACACCCTCGTTTACATCATGATGACCACGGACAGCGCCGGCGCCTCTGCAGCGCCGAGTAGATCCCAGGCTGTCGCAGAGGCCGCATCCTCCCGCGTCGTCCCCAAGCCAGTCCCGCAGCGTCAAAAACAGGACCCCAGGGAATACCAGCTAGGGCAGTTGAGACGCCGCTTCTCGCCCAAGGAATCCTCCCTGGCCAGTGGTGTCACGTGCCTGGCCCTGACGATAACCCCCTCGGACCCCGACTTTCCCTTTGATCTCGGCCGGGGCTTGGAGGTCGAGATAAAAGTCCCAGCCTCGTACCCGAAAGCACCTCCAACCCTTTCGGTAAAGCACAGCGACATGCCTCGGGGGATCGCGATAAATGTCGAGCGTGGCTGGGATCAGCTCGTCTCGGAGAGGCGGGGGTCTACCCTTCTTTCCCTGACCAACGCTCTGGACAAGCATCTGGAGTCGTTTCTCTCGGAGAAGGCTGCCAAGACTGTCAAGATGACCATATTCAAGGACACGAGGCACATCGAGGCACTTCAAGCCAACCCAGACCCGGAACCGGTCCAGGAGCCGGTGCCGCAGCAAGCACCGCAGCACCAGAGGCCAGTGTACGTTCCAGAGGAGACCTTCACCAAAGACCAAATTGCCGAGGCCAAGGCGCGGCGCGCCCTGGAAACGCGACAGATAGAGTCTCGCATGGGACGACTGCCCTCGTACCAAAAGTCCAGCGACGGCGTCGTATACACGCTACCCCTCGAGCCGAAGCGGCGCACGGAGCTGCCGCCCGTCCTGCAGGCCGTCAGGTCCATGCAGCTCATAATACCCCTTTTGTATCCACTGCAGAAGATGCGAGTGCTGCTCAACGATGTGGACTCTGAGGATGCCGAGATATTGGAGGAGCTTTTCGCACAAAAGGCAGCCGAGCAGCGGCATATGAACCTGATGAGCCTCATCAACTACCTGACACAGAGCCTCCACCTCTTGGCCAGACAAGCCCAACAGCAGAAAAAGACACTCGAGGCCTCTCGGGCTTCGGAAACGATCAATTCGGCGGACCGAGGAAAACAGGTGGAAGGAAAAGCGGCCGCCCACTCTGCATCTGTAGACGACGTCAAGAGCCATATTCACGTCATCCCCCGTCCCCCGGAGTGGTCTCGTGGGCACGGGGACGACTTTGAGTCCTCGGGCTCGGACGACGACCCGTATGATTCTGACGACGACGACGACGAGGGAGGTGGAGGCGCTGCGCTCGGCCAACCCGGCAGCCTCTCGGTATCAGCCGCTGGACAGACGCCCGAAAAGGGGGTGGCCATCACGTTTCCTTCGGTCGAGCTCTACGGGGTCGAGCTCCTCCAGATAAGCCTGCTGAGCATCAGCGTCAAGTGCCAGCGGTGCAAGATGGCCAACGACGTGGGCGGCATCAGCCCGGGGGTCGAGAAGGGCGTCGGCTGCAGGAAGTGCGCGGCCGACATGACGGTCACCTTCCGGCCGGAGCTGGTGCACCAGGGGTCCGCCAGGGCGGGCTTCCTCGACCTGGCCGGCTGCACGGCCTCTGACCTGCTCCCCAGCACCTTCACGCCCACGTGCGACAAGTGCTCGACCCCGACGGCCCAGGGCCTCGTCTCGGTGCGCGGCGAGACGACGACCAACGTCTGCCGCGAGTGCCACGGCCGCTTCACCTTCAAGATCCCCGACGTCCGCTTCCAGACATACACCCCGGCCCACGCCCTCGCCGCGCCCGGGGCGGCGGCGGGAGGAGGAGGGCCACGACGCAGGGCCGAGAAGCTGGGCCTGCGGGCGGGCGAGCCGCTCCCCGCGCGCGGCGCCTGCGAGCACTACCGCAAGAGCTACCGCTGGTTCCGCTTCAGCTGCTGCGACCGCGTCTTCCCCTGCGACCGGTGCCACGACGCCGACGCCGACGCCGGCGACGGGGGGCACGTCCACGAGTGGGCGGCCCGCATGGTCTGCGGGCACTGCTCGCGCGAGCAAAACTACCGGCCAGAGAGTTGTCTGTACTGCGGGCGCTCCGTCGTCGGCCGCAAGGGGTCCGGCTTCTGGGAGGGCGGCAAGGGCACACGCGACCGGGTGCTGATGCGGAAGGGCGACAAGCGCAAGTACCGGCGCGTCGGGGGCGATGCCAAGGCTACGTAAGGTGTGGGCGGTTGTCGTTGCGTGTATTGGCGGCGCTCTCTGGCCGTCGTTGGTGGCGCTGCTGAAGCCCTCCATACCACAGCCACTGCTACGCCCCCAAGACTCGGCGGTATAGCGGTGCTTAGACAGACAGATATGGGTTTATTTTGAAACGCGCTGCTCAAGTTTGTTGGCACGTTGTATTCAGCTTCCGAGAGAGAGAGAGAGAGAGAGAGAGAGAGAGAGAGAGAGAGAGAGAGAGAGAGACGACGACCGACCGTACCT